CTGTTACTTTCCCCTGACGTTGTCCTCTTGTCCCCTCAGACATCGTCCATGAGAGGGTGCTCCACCTGATTCTGCTGCATGAAGACGTGTCTCTGCAGTATTTTATCCCCGCTGTGGCGTAGACGCTCTGCTGACCGCTCAAACTATTTCTGCGTATTGAGTTTGGAGAAATGGAAAAAACGGGCTGTGAACCTCTTTCAGGATCCTGTTTGCACACTTCGGCAAAGGAATCCTCTTTTGCGTGAGACAAAACTCACGATGGGATTCTGAGAGTCTGTCCTACATTTTAATGAGACTGAGGCCGGGTCCAGTCCCGGTCAGTGGACCTCGGGAGGACTTTACCCACTGACTTTGATGGGAGTAAGGACATGCTGGTTGACAAACAAATGGCACATTAAATGTTTGAGAAGAAGTTTGGATCGCTGTGCCAGAGAGGTTTGTCCTTGCATGTATGTGCATGTCTACATGCTGGTAGAAGTAGGAGGCCTGACCCTTTAATCCACTGGGGAAAAATACAGGTAATGTCAGGTAATAAGCGCTGACGACTGGCTCTTTTCACAGAATGCGTTTTGACACATTGCTGTAGGAAAGGCAGGAAAATAATGATGGCTAGATTCCATTTAGCTCCTTCAGTTTGAACGTCCTCTTTATGCTGTCATGTCTTATTGGTCATTGTTAATGCAGCACAGGTGTTGTCGATGTAACGCCTCTGCTTTTCCTTCTATGGTCAGTCCAAAAGTTTTTCAGCATTTTAGTTTCTTTCTTACTAATGTAACAGTGTTCATCTGTCATGTCCTTGTTAATCAAATAATAAAATGAAACTTCAAAGTTTGTGACAGAATGAGAGAGAATATTTTTTCTTTCCTGTGTGATTTTGGTGAACTGGCCCTTTAAGAATGGGATTAAATTATTGGGTACACTAGTGCGGTGGTGTGAATAAACTGATAACAATCTTCAGGTTAACTTTTCAAAGGTCATATTTATAGCACCGCTGTTTATCGTTAGACAAAAGATAAATGAGCCAGGACAGTTGCTCATCTACTCAACCTGACCAGGACCCAGTTCTCCCAATGTGGTTTAACTAATCCAGATGTTAGAGTTGTTCCTGGATTATCATTTTGTTTCACAGTGTGCTTTTACCACGTGCATCATCACATGCACGCTGAAAGTGAATCTGTACTAAAATCTCTTAGAAAGCATCTTTAATAGCAAGAACAATTTTCAGCAAAAGTTTTAAAATTCCTATTTTAATGTCAAATTAAATGTTCTTGTTCTATTAACAGTCAGAATCTTTTATTTCAGGTTATACTTTTTAGCTTACAGTATATTTATATATATCTTTTATTTTATTATGTAGAACATTTCATTGTGATAGCAGATCATAGTGATTTTACGATGACCTGCAATCTGTCCTTGGGGCTCGAGGACTTGTTGCTCTGACAGCAGTTCCAGATGAATTCAGATTTTAATGCCGTCACCTGCAGTTAACCGCTCATCCTCCCAGTCTGAAGTTCAATTCAATTCAATTCAATTTTATTTATATAGCGCCAAATCACAACAACAGTTATCTCAAAGCGCTTTTCATAAAAGAGCAGGTCTAGACCATACTCTGTGATGATATTTACAGAAAGCCCAACAGTTCCCACCAAGAGCAAGCACTAAGCGACAGAGGCAAGGAAAAACTTCCTTTTAAGAGGCAGAAACCTCGAGCAGAACCATGGAAACTATATCTTTAGATAATGCGTCACGGAGGTGCTTAGGCCCCAGAGCAATAACTTCAGTTTTATCTGAGTTTAACATGAGAAAATTACAGGTCATCCAGGTTTTAACATCCTGAGGGCACATTTGAAGTTTAGCTAACTGATGAGTTTCATCTGGCTTGATCGATAGATATAACTGAGTATCATCTGCATAACAATGAAAGCTTATGGAATGTTTCCTGATAATATTGCCTAAAGGAAGCATATATAAAGTGAAGAGGATTGGTCCGAGGACAGATCCTTGTGGAACTCCATGAGTAACTTTGGCGTGCATGGAGGACTCATCGTTAACATGTACAAACTGAAATCGATCTGATAAATAGGACTTAAACCAGCTTAGAGCGGTTACTTTAATGCCAATGAAATGTTCCAGTCTCTGCAATAGGATCTGATGGTCAATGGTATCAAATGCAGCACTAAGATCTAATAAAACCAGTACAGAGACAAGTCCTTTGTCTGATGCAATAAGGAGGTCATTAGTAATTTTCACCAGTGCTGTCTCTGTGCTATGATGAGCTCTAAATCCTGACTGAAAATCCTCAAATAAACTATTGCTCTGTAGAAAGTCACACAGCTGTTTAGCAACTGCTTTCTCCAGAACCTTAGAGAGAAATGGAAGGTTAGATATAGGTCTATAGTTGGCTAAAACATCCGGATCAAGTTTGGGCTTTTTCAGAAGAGGTTTAATTACAGCTACTTTAAAGTACTGTGGTACATAGCCTGTTGATAAAGATAGATTGATCATATCTAGTATAGAGGTGCTGACTAAGGGTAAAACATCTTTAAGCAGCCTAGTCGGGATGGGGTCTAAGAGGCAGGTTGATGGTTTAGATGAAGAAATTATTGAAGTTAGTTGGTAAAGATTGAGGGAAGCAAAACAGTCTAAACATGTATCTGGTTCTACAGCTGTTTCTAAGGTTCCTGAGTTAAGAGATAAGTCGGTGCCAGTTGAGGGCAGGTCTTGGTGAATTTTGTCTCTCAAGTTTCTGCGATATTTGCTTTAATTTGCGAGTTTCAGTATTATACCATGGAGCTAACCGTCTTTGTTTTAGTATTTTCTTTTTTAGAGGGGCTACAGAGTCGAGTGTCATTCGCAGCGAGCCTGCAGCACTATCAACAAGATGATCGATTTGGGAGGGACTGAAATTAGCATAGGAGTCCTCCGTTACTTTGTGACTAGATAATGTATTTAGAGCTGATGGAATCGCATCCTTAAATTTAGCTACAGCACTATCAGACAGACATCTTGTATAGAAATTTTTGCCCAATGGCGTGTAGTTCAGCAATACAAACTCAAAAGTTATCAAACAGTGGTCGGATAAAGAGGGATTCTGTGGGAACACCACTAAATGTTCAATTTCAATACCATACACCAAAACAAGGTCGAGGGTGTGGTTAAAACAGTGAGTCGGTTCATGAACACTCTGAGAGAAGCCGATGGAATCTAACAGAGAGATAAACGCAGTACTAAAGCTGTCATTCTCAACATCTACATGAATATTAAAATCCCCTACAATAATAACTTTGTCCGTTTTAAGGACTAACGTTGACAAAAACTCTGCAAATTCAGATAAGAATTCAGAGTACGGGCCAGGTGCTCGGTACACTATAACAAAGAGAATTGGTTGCAGTGATTTCCAACTTGGGTGCGAAAGAGTAAGAACAACACTTTCAAATGAGTTATAGTTTAGTTTAGGTTTAGAGCTGATTAGTAGGCTAGAGTGGTAGAAAGCTGCAACTCCACCTCCTCGGCCTGTGCCTCGAGGAATGTGAGTATTAATATGACTGGGAGGGGTGGATTCATTTAGGCTAACATATTCTCCATCACCCAGCCAGGTTTCAGTAAGACCAAATAAATCAATATCATAATCTGATATTAGTTCATTTACTAGTACACCTTTAGAAGAGAGAGATCTGATGTTTAAGAGTCCACATTTAACTCTCCTATTCGTTTGCACTATTGCTCTTGTGGTTTTAATTTTTATGAGGTTTTTATGCACAGCTCCTCTTCTGTTTACCTTTTTAAATAATTTCGATGGTGGGGGGCAGACACCGTCACTATAGGGTTTTCACTAAGTAACTCCTGAAATGGAGGAGCAGAGAAGTGTGTTAGACTGCGACTCTGCGTAGGGTTTTGGGTGGGTAACTGCTGAAAAAGAAGGGCAGAGAAGTGTGTTAAACTGCGACTCTGCCTCCTGGTCTCAACTCTGGGTTGTCATGGATTTGGTCCACTAATAAACTTGACCAGATTTCTAGAAATGAGAGCTGCTCCTTCCCAAGTGGGATGGATGCCGTCTCTCCGGATCAGACCAGGTCTTCCCCAGAAAGTCTGCCAATGATCAACAAAGCCCACATCGTTTGCTGGACACCACCTCGACAACCAGCGGCGGAATGACGACATGCGGCTATACATGTCATCACTGGTCAGATTTGGCAGGGGTCCAGAGAAAACTACGGTGTCCGACATTGTTTTTGCATATGTACACACCGACTCAACATTAATCTTAGTGACCTCCGATTGGCGTAACCGGGAGTCATTACCGCCAACGTGAATAACAATCTTACTGTATTTACGTTTATCCTTAGCCAGCAGTTTCAAATAAGACTCAATGTCGCCCGCTCTGGCCCCAGGGACGCACTTAACTATGGCCGCTGGCTTCGCTAACTTCACGTTTCTCAAAATGGAGCTGCCAATGATCAGAGTTGGTTTCTCAGCGGGTGTGTCGCTGAGTGGGGAAAATCTGTTAGAAACGTGAACAGGTTGATGGTGCCCCGTGGGCTTTAAATGCTTACGACTATTCCTCCTGGCCGCACAGGGGATGCCGGGGGGACGGCTACCAGAGGCTAACTCAGGCCGTTCCGCACCGACTACCGGGGACTGGCTAGCTACAGTAGCTAAAGACTGATCTACCAAAGGTGCGGAGCCGGACTTCTAAATCACTGAGCCTCGCCTCCATGTCTATAAATAAACTACACTTATTACACGTACCATTACCGCTAAAGGAGGCAGAGGAGTAACTGAACATCTGACACACCGAGCAGGAGAAAGTAGGAGAGAGAGAGGGAGAAGGAGAAGCCATCGCTAGCTGCTAAGCTAAAGTCGCTAACGGCTAAGCTAAAGTACTGTAGCGTCAGTTACCAAAACTTTAGAACAACTACGAGATTGAACAGCAGTCACTAAAAGATGGAAAGAACTGTGAGTGCTTAGGCAAAATTACTGTAAGAATAAGTGTTTAGCGAACAGTTGGCCGCTGTAATCAAACAAATGTAACTGTTATTTAGTGAGAGCAGCACAACACGGTACCAACACACAAGCACCGGAAACGGAAATGAGTCGACACGCTTACTGCAGTACGTCAGCAGTCTGAAGTGAACTGGACTGCGTCTGTAGGGACCTTCTTGCAGTGACCAGGAGCCGGACTAGGGCTCTGCTAACCCACGTCTATGGTTCTGATAACGGCAGGAAACCTGGACTGTAAAATATTATTGGATCAACACTCAACCTGTTATTCTCCCTCTGATGTGTCGATTTCTCTGAACTGACCCACTGAACACTCAGTTTTATGGTTTTCTCTGTTGAACGTTGACCTGGATCACCGGGTCGGAGTGACTCTGCATTTCCTGGAAATAGCTTCTGAATCGGCTGCTTTGTTCACCGGCAGACGCTCCTGTCTTTGTGTCGTTAACAAGAGCTTTGTTTTGTAGGAGAAAGGACGCCTGAGGCAGGGTGAGTGTTGCAAATAATGACTACTCATTCATTCATAATTATTAGTCATTAATTCTAAATGCGTAATTAATAAGGATGCATTATTAATTATAATGAGTAACCATTATTTATTTATCTGCTGATTGCTGTTGTCTGTGATGTTAATAAGAAATCACTGTCCTAGAGCTCAAGGTGATGTGTTCAAATGTTATTTCCTGTTTTTTGGTCCTTGTTTCAAAATGTGTAGGATGATGGCTCGAAAATACACGTTTTAGATTAAACTAGAAGAAGCTACCAACTTAGAGTACTGACTTTTGTATGCGTGTTTGCCTCCAGTGTTACTGCTTGACCTCTCAGAGAAGATGAGTGATGTGGAGGAGGAGGAGGACCGAGCAGAGTCTCCAGTCTCCAGCTGTCTGTCCATGAAGAGTGACCGGACCAAATGGAGACCTCCAGACTTCAGTGATGAACCTGGACCCTCAGAAACAAAGTAAGAGAACTGCTTTTACTGTAAACTGACCTGAAGACCATTCAGTTTTTAATAAAATCTGATCGCCTACACTACAGAACAGTTCTTTTGTAATTACACAAGTTTTATTTCATTCTGGCAATTGGGATGTCCTGATCAAGAGTTTCTCTTGGTCCTGATCAGAGTTTCCCTAACCAAGTTGGTTAGTCTCTGCTGATTCCGAATCTGAACTGATAATTATATTAACCTACATGTTGTTAAATACACTGCCTGTCAAAAGTTTTTTCTAGTTTGTATGTAAATATAAGTAGTCCAGTGTGAAACCTTAAATGGTGCAAAAGTAAGCAGCAAACTGCCAAAGTAAAAATAAAGTTTACGTCACCAAACAGACATTTTCAGATAGAAACTTACCAATTATATGAAGAGGTTTTATTAATTGTTTCACTGTAGGATCAACTGATGATCAGCTACTCCGTCTTCCTTCATTATTTGCCTTTGTTGTTGCAATATAGTACAAATAAATCTGTTCACTGTAGAAAATCTGCTTTCAAGGCTTCATTTACTTTCACTGCTGCAGAAGAACCAAAGAACGTAAAGACAAAGTTTAAATAATGTAACACCCACAGTCTCCACATACACACACAAAATATGTACAATCAAAACTATTATGTTTTAAACCTAAATTATCGATCTGATATGAACGAGTGCAGAGTTGAAGTTGCTGTGACGTGATCAGCAGAGAGAAGAACTCAGCTGGAGTTCCACTTTGATTGTTCAGTGGTGTTACAGAGTGAAACTTCTTCCCTCACAAATCTTTGGCTGAGTACAGACAGCAGATGCAGACATTTTAACCAGACAACAGACAAGTTTAACTTTGACCTGCCATCAAGGTTCTCACTGAAGTAACGTTAATTAGTGACAGCTAAAATGACCTGCTGCCACCCACGTTTCTCATTTTAACAGGTGAAAGTCTGAACATGAGAAGCTGCTACCTGAATGTTTTGTACACTGAGCTTTTGATAATGAGAAAGAGAGTTTATTGACTTCATCTAACTCCACGGTGCACCTGTGAACACAAATACATCACTGTAGGAGAGTTCAGCTCAAACCTTTGTAAAGGTACACTGTAATTTTCACTAGCATGTGGGCGAAATGCTGCACTGTAGAGTCTTAGATCTTTTCAATATGGATCAGCTCTGATACTAATATTTCTGCAACACAGGTTTGCACAATGAAATGCACGTCGTAGTCGTTATTGCTACATATACATTTATTTTCTTTTACAGTGGAGTGCAGATGAAGCGTTAAAGACGTAATGAGTAGGACTGGGGATGACATCATGTATTCATCAGCCGCCATTATGGCCTCTGAATGAACCAGTCACCACACTAGGACAACCATCAGAAGATGTATAAAACTAGAAACCACAGATGTTTGTCCAGAAGGGCAGAGCTTTTATCCAAATCAGTTTAAAGTTTTGTAAGTAATATGAGAAGCCTTATTTTGTAATTTGAGTAGCCTTAGGCTATGTACCAGAACCTGTTAGCTGATTTCACCATCCCCTTTTTTTGTCCCTTTCCATGTATGAATTTTGCTAGATGGGGAAATCAGGGACGTCAGTTTCCGTTTGTGTCATACTAAGCATTATGTATACAACCAGAGTCTTTCACTGTTTTTGTTTCTGTGCTGGAGCATTTTTCTGAGCTTAAATGTTTGGGCTGCCGTGGCAGCCAACGCAGCCATTGCCTTTACTTTTAAGACAGTCTTGTGCTGTAGTTTTGGCCTCACACTTGCAGACAACTAGTACCTGTGGCAGTAAGATTCTGTTAGTGTAAGCAGAAACCTTATTTTTCCTCTTCCAAAAATACAGGCTCTGGTGAGCACAAACTATTTTGTCGCTCGTACAGACAGATGTCGTGGCACCTTCTTAGATTCTGAGATGTCTCGATCTGCAACAATAGCATAACCAACTAAATAGGGCTTTTATTCTCAACCATCAACACATAAGGTTCAGTTAATCAACCTCAAACACATAGAAACTCTACATCCTCACAAATATGTTTCCAGCCATAGATAAAATATTCAGAAAATACAGATGGAAAAATAAAATACATAATAAAACGATATGTGTTTGAGTCTGCAGTATCCAGCTGTCTGTCTATGAAGAGTGACTGGTCCAAAGCATCACCTCTCAACTTCAGTAATGAACCTGGACCCTCAGACACAAAGAGTCATGGGGGACAGTTTGTTACGTAAGCTATTGGTTCTGAAGAAGATTCAGTGTTCAATGTTCAAATTCACTCAAAAATATGGAAAGAGGGAACGTGAAGTGTTTGTCACCACTGTGCCTTTCTGTTTCACTCCTGCTTATTTCTCCTGACAGTTGATGTAGCCCATTTAATGGTCCACAATAGTGTGATATGTTTGAAGTAGTCAGTAATACTTAAGTGGGCCAGTTATATTACTTTTTATCTGTTTACATAAATATCTTTACAAAGGTTTGACCTGAACTCTCCTACAAAGTCTTTGGTTGCCTAATAATTTCCATATATGTGCAACATGTGTCATAACAACTCATCATCAGATCCTATGTAGCATCAATTTATGATGCTAAATACCCTGAAAAATGGACACTAAATTTTGCAGCACAGATGGTAATCAGTTAGAAGTCTCCCAACAGTCTAGGCCTATATGAGCATAACTAAGGGATGGTTCAGGACTCACCTGAGCCAGCCCTAACTATAAGTTTTATCAAAGAGCAAAAACTTAAGCCTACTCTTAAATGTGGAGCTGGTGTGATTCCTTACAGTGGTACTGGAGGCCAGGGCAATGCAATCCAGAATAACTATATATTTATTAGATATTGTCTTTCAGAAGTGTTTGGGGCCAAATACAATAATTTCATTTTTATCTGAATTTAACATCAGAAAATTTCAGGTTAGAAAATCAACGTCAACTTGTTGCAATTAATAAGGGGATATTGGGGCCCTGCAGTGTTTGAGCTGTTTATTTGCATATTTCAAGATTTGCTCAAAGAAGAGACCATTGTGCTCTGTCTCTGCAGAGAGCTGCAACACTTTTTCCATTAATTCAAGAAATGTTGTCTCATACTCGGACAATGATTTATATTTATGATCTAAATACATTTTGATTTATAAGTAAATAAATGAATAGAATAAATGAAAGTGAATAGAAGAGCCAGATATGTGTAGGTAAAGAGCTGCATGCAACTTGCTTGAGCTGTGGGTTGGTCACCCACATGTATGTAATGTGTTCATATCTACAGAGAGAGGAAGAGGAGTCATGTTTCTGTGGAGGAGCAGCCGTCCTGCTGTGCTTTGTGTCAGGACGTCCTGAAGGATCCAGTCTCTACCAGCTGTGGACACTGGTTCTGCAGACAGTGCATCACCTCATACTGGGACCAGTCTGTTTCATCAGGAGACTCCTCCTGTCCCCAGTGTGGAAAAAGATCCAGAACAAGAGCTGGACTGCAGACAGCCAGTCAGAGCAGCTCTGTACAAAGTAATACTAGACATCTGTCCGCTGATGTCGTCATGTCTGAAAATACATAAATGTAAATGAAAACAGGACTTTCTGTTTAATTACAGGGACATTTGTTTTTTGTATACATTTTTAAACTATATTTTGAATCATAAATTCAGAAATATTTTTATTTATCTGGATTCTTGCTCTCTGAAGTCTAGTCTCTGAATGTTTGTTCTTTTCTTTCAGCAGATAGTGGTCTGCAGGAGGTTTTAGATGAACATAAGATCAGTCTGAGGAGGAGATGTGAACATGTGACTGAAGGAAGTGATGAAACAGGAAGTGGAACCCTCCTCAACACGATCTACACTGAGCTCTACATCACAGAGGGACAGAGTGAAGAGGTTAATACCCAGCATGAGGTGAGGCAGCTTGAGACAGCTTCCAAGAAGAAGACCCTCCATGACACTCCAATCAGGTGCCAGGACATCTTTAAAGCCTTACCTGACCAACAGAGAGCCATCAGAGTGGTTCTGACCAACGGCGTCGCTGGCGTTGGAAAAACCTTCTCAGTGCAGAAGTTCACTCTGGACTGGGCAGAGGGCTCGGAAAACCAAGATGTTGGTCTGCTGGTTCTGCTCTCGTTCAGGGAGCTGAACTTGATCAAAGATGAGCGGCACAGTCTCCTCACGCTGCTCCATGTTTTCCATCCAACATTACAGAAGGTCCCAGCAGAGAAGCTCGCCGTCTGGAAACTGCTGTTCATCTTTGACGGCCTGGATGAAAGCAGACTTTCATTGGATTTCCACAACAGTGAGGTTGTGTCTGATGTCACACAGAAGTCATCAGTCAACCTGCTGCTGACAAACCTCATCGAGGGGAATCTGCTTCCCTCGGCTCTCGTCTGGATAACTTCCAGACCTGCGGCGGCCAATCAGATCCCTTCTTCATGTGTTGGCAGGGTAACAGAAGTACGAGGCTTCACTGACGCCCAGAAGGAGGAGTACTTCAGGAGGAGAGTCAGTGATGAAGAGCTGTCCAGCAGAATCATCTCATACATCAAGACCTCCAGGAGCCTCCACATCATGTGTCTAATCCCAGTCTTCTGCTGGATCACTGCTACAGTTCTGGAGCACATGTTGACTACAGAGCAGAGAGGAGAGCTGCCCAAGACCCTGACTGACCTGTACTCACACTTCCTGCTGGTTCAGATAAAGAGGAAGAAGCAGAAGTACGATGAGGGACATGAGATGAGTCCACATAAGCGGACGGAGGCTGACAGGAAGGTTCTTCTGAAGCTGGGGAGGCTGGCGTTTGAACAGCTGGAGAAAGGAAACATCATGTTCTACCAAGAAGACCTGGAGCAGTGTGGTCTGGATGTCACAGAGGCCTCGGTGTACTCAGGAGTTTGTACAGAGATCTTCAAAAGAGAGAGTGTGATCTTCCAGAAAACAGTCTACTGCTTTGTTCATCTGAGCGTTCAGGAGTTTCTGGCTGCAGTCTACATGTTCCACTGTTACACCAGCAGGAACACAAAGGCACTGGAGGACTTTCTTGGGGATTTCTTTCTGAGGAGAGCCATGCAGAAATCCCTTGAAAGTAAAAATGGCCACCTGGACCTGTTTGTTCGCTTCCTTCATGGCCTCTCTCTGGAGTCCAACCAGAGACTCTTAGGAGGCCTGCTGGGTCAGACAGACAACAGTCCAGAAATCATCCAGAGAGCCATCAACAACCTGAAGGAGATGAACAGTGATAAGATCTCTCCTGACAGAAGCATCAACATCTTCCACTGTCTGATGGAGATGAACGACCACTCAGTACATCAGGAGATCCAAGAGTTCCTGAAGTCAGAGAACAGATCAAAGAAGAAACTCTCTGAGATCCACTGCTCAGCTCTGGCCTACATGCTGCAGATGTCAGAGGAGGTTCTGGATGAATTGGACCTGAAGAAGTACAACACATCAGAGGAGGGACGACTGAGACTGATTCCAGCTGTGAGGAACTGCAGAAAGGCTCTGTAAGTCCAGATGTGATTAACATTATGAATCAATTAGTTATTTAAATAGTCCGTTCGTCTATGTAACTTTCCTCGGATGATGGCGGTAAAATGCAAACCTGGTGAAACAAAAGAAAGATGTTATAGATTGATGTTGAGTTTTTATCACAGCAGCTTTGATCACAACATATAGCAGTATTTAACAGGTAAAAAAACAGATTATCACAGAAAACAGAAGTCGTAGAGAATTGATTTCATGTAATTCCTTTTTTCTGTAATGGTTCCAGAGCCATTTCATAGTGAGCATGGAGGATGTTAGAGGACACCAATCCCCCTTCTTAAAGAATATAGATTTAAAAAGAAGCTTAAATAAAGGGTTCTACTTTAAATAACACAAGTCTCATGTTCATTATTTAAATATAGTAGTCTATGTAACTTAAATAATATAGTATGTAAGCAGCCGTTGTGGTCACAGACATGGGACCAGATCAAACTGACAGGTTGAAACCATTATGGAAGCCTAGATGTAACAAAATTTTCTCTACCTTCATCTGCAAAATTAAAGCAGTTTTGTAATCAAATGCGTAAAGTAAATATAAAGTTTCCTCTTTTATGACAGACTTTCTGCATGTGGACTCTCAGAGACTCACTGTGAAATTGTGGCCTCAGCTCTAAAGTCTAACCCATCCCATCTGAGAAAGCTGGACCTGAGTAAAAACAAGCTGCTGGATTCAGGAGTGAAGCTACTGTCTGCTGGACTGGAGAGTCCACACTGCAGACTGGAGACTCTGAGGTGTGTTTACCGTTTGACAGAGGTTTCAAATGTTTTGTTAATAAACGTTTGGGATTTGCCTGTGAACAAATGATGAAATTTTGCAAGTAATGAAAAATGATGAGGATGTAGAGTGTATGAGGGATACGAATGAGGTTGTTGAAGATCTGATGATAGCACATAAAAAAGATGGTATGTAAACTGAGAGAGAGATGGGTTAGATGACAGAGTGCAAAGTTCAGTAACGGTTAAAATAGGAACTGTGATGATCTTCAATGATATCAGAAGCGTGTGGTGGTGCATTTAACCAGAGCTAAGAGTAATAATCAGCCAACATGTCACAAAAAAGCAGAATTCAATATCTGAGGATTTTAAAAAACAAGCTGGAGAAGAAAAATGACTGTTGTAATTACTATAAAAGATGTCAGGTTATCCTTTCTGTTAACAACCCTAACAAAGCAAACTCTATTTAAGAATCATCAAACTTTTTTATCCATCCATCTTTAAGATCCATGTAGAGCAAACTCATAGGTCCTCCAGTCCTGCGCTCATTAGAACATGTCAAAAGGTGCAGCACTCTTCAATAAACATGTATTTCACCTACTTGAAGTCATACAAATGATTATGAACGACATATCAAATTTGAAATATCTAAGAACAAAATTAAAGATGTTTAAACATTTGAAATTATATGAATCTTCCTTGATTTCAAAAATCTCAAACATGGCCTTCTGATATATATATATAAGTGCTCTAGTGAGGGATCGTCATTTTTATCTGCTGTAGCCAGCATTAGCACCGCCCAGTTCAAATTGAACTGTTCAAAAATGTAGCAAGCATCTTAAAATTCATCCACAGACTTCAAAACTTTGCTTCAAAGTAACGAGTTAGGGGAACTATAGTGGAGTCAAAGTACAATACTGTATATTACTTTTAAATGTAGTGGAGTAAAAGTCATAAGATTCCAAAAGTGAATACTCAAGTAAAGTACAGATACTCGAAAATTGGACTTAAGTACAGTACTCAAATATATGTACTTTGTTACTGTCCACCACTCGCAAATAACTACCTGTATGAGTGCTCTTATGTTATAATGTATTGGCAGGAAGTGGGGGCTTTTATTTTCATAAAACTGTAAGGGATGTTGTTGCAGATGAACCTTGTTGAATATGAATATATAATGTGGTAATGTGTCTGCTCCGGTAAAGGTCTCTGTGATTGTCATTTACCGTCCACTAGGACAAATGGGTAACTTTGTGGAGGAGCTAGATACACTGCTGTCTTCAATCGTAGAGCATGACTGTCCCCTACTAGTCCTCGGTGACATGAACATTCACTTAGACAATTCAAACTCAGCAGACTTCCTGTATCTGATTCAGCCCTTTGATCTAACACGGGTTCTCAGCCTCCCGACCCACAAAGCTGGCAAGGTGCTTGACCTAGTTCTTGTCCGAAACTGTGCCACAGAGTGCGTAACAGTCACACCTCTACATGTGTCTAACTATTTCATTCAGTTCACAGTATGCCTACAGGAAAAGCCCATTCTTCCAACACCATTGGTTTCACACGGCCGCAACCTCCATAACCTGTCTCCCGCTCACTTTGCCTCAGTGGTAGCTTCCGCTCTACCCTCCCTCAACATATTTTCCTCACTTGAGGTCAATGATGCCACACAATCTCGTGATCTACACTAAGCTCATGCCTGGATAGCCTGTGTCCTCTTTCCACCAAGCCTGCTCACCCAAACCAGTCCCACCCGTGGCTAACTGATACCATCCGTGGGCTCGGTACTTATCTCAGAGCGGCTGAAAGAAAATGGCGAAAAACCAAAGACCCCGCCGACCTTAAGGGCTTTCAATTGCTCCTATCCTCCTTCTCAACAAGCATCAGTGCTGCCAAAACTGCGTTCTATAATGACAGAATAAGCAGTGCCACTGACTCAAGGAAATAATTTTCCACTTTTAAAGCACTACTAAATCCTCCTCCACCTCCACTACCCACAAACTTGTCTGCTGATACCTTTGCTGCCTTCTTCACAGGCAAAGTGGAGGCCATAACTAGCCAATTCTCTGAAACACTCAAACTCAACCATTGTATCAGTCCTACTACACTTTTCCTCTGCCCTCCCAGGTCAGTGGTTGTTCACTCTCCTCGTAAGTATCAGAACTCTTGACCCGTAGCCGTCCAACTACATGCCCACTGGACCCGATTCCTACGAATCTCCTCCAAACCATATCTCCTACTGTGGTCCCGACAATCTCTCATGTGTTAAATACTTCTCTGGCTTCAGGAACCTTCCCGACCACTTTCAAAAGGGCTCGGGTTACACCCTTGCTAAAAAAAGCCCTCACTTGACCCAACTCAAGTTGAGAACTATTGACCAGTGTCTCTTCTACCTTTTTTATCCAAAACTATTGAACGGGCAGTATTCAAACAGGTCTCAGAATTCAGCTGCCTTTGACACAGTCAACCACAGGATCCTGCGTTCCTACAATGTTTTGTGGCAAGGACAATTATCCTCCTCCCATTGCCTCTCCACAGGGGTGGCCCAAGGTTCAGTGCTTGGCCCCTTCTCTTCTCAATTTACACCTGCTCACTGGGGCCGATCATTCGCTCGCACAGCTTCACTTACCACTGCTACACAGACGACACGCAACTCTACCTATCCTTCCCACCAGGTGATCCCACTTCTCGGCGCGGATCACGGACTGTCTATCGGACATATCTGCATGGATGAAGGCTTGCCACCTTCAACTAAACCTCTCTAAGACTGAACTCTTGGTCATTCCAGCCAAGCAATCTATCCACCATAACATCAAACTACAAACCATCACTCCAGCCAAGGTGGTGAGAAACTTGGGTGTCATGATTGATGACCAGCTGTCCTTTTCAGACCATGTTGCTGCTGTCTCTCGGTCATGCCGCTTTGCTCTATACAACATAAGGAAAATCAGGCCCTACCTCACTCAGTACGCCACCCAGCTTCTGGTACAGGCCATGGTTATCTCTCGCATCGACTATTGCAATGCCCTCCTAGCAGGTCTTCCAGCTTGTGCGGTGAAACCCTTACAAATGGTTCAGAACGCAGCAGCGCGTCTGGTTTTTGATCAGCCCAAAAGAACTCATGTCACTCCATCACGCAGTGACCTCCACTGGCTCCCCGCTGCCTCCAGAATTAAATTAAAGTCACTAATGCTTGCATACAAAGTCTGCACCCATCTACCTAAACTCCATAATGCAAACTTACGTTCCTTCTCACCTGCTACGCTCCTCCAACGAACGCCGCCTGGCTGCCATCCCTGCCATCCCTTCACACAAAGCAATCCCAGTCCCGGCTATTCTCATCTGTGACACCACGATGGTGGAACGAGCTACCACACGCCATCAGAGCAGGGGCGTCCCTCTCTAACTTCAAGAAGCTCTTGAAAACACATCTCTTCCAAGAACACTTCCTCTTATAACACCTCTAACTCCTAACCTCTAACATGCACTTCCTGTGCTCTTCTTCTTCTATCCCCTACAATGATCTTGTATAGATTGCACTTTTTGTTTTGATTGCACCTTGCTAACTCTTACTTCCTTCCCTAGGTATCTACCCCATTGATGTGATATGTACTGTGAGCTCTTACTAGTATTTATTGCTGCTCTTACTAGTATGTTTTGTCAGTTGTAGATCTGTAGTTGATGCTCGGTTGATGCTTGTATGTTGTTCCTCAAATGTAAGTCGCTTTGGATAAAAGCGTCTGCCAAATGAGTAAATGTAATGTAATGTGGTTTTGTCTACATCATTTATTCTCTATTCAGATTTAGGGGCTGCAGCTTATCAGAGATCAGCTGTGCTTCTCTGGCCTCGGCTCTGAAGTCCAAACCATCCCATCTGAGAGAGCTGCAGCTAAGTGACAACAAGCTGCAGGATTCGGGAGTGGCTCTGCTGTCTGCTGGACTGGAGTGTCCACATTGTAGACTTGAGACTCTGGGGTCAGTTCATTGACTCTTTACTTTTGTAGATCTCATATTTGAAAGTTTCTTGTACTAAATTTAGTCTGCAGTCACAAAGGACTTGGACTTTCTTAAATGAACATGTAGAAAATATCCATTGTTAGTTGTAGAATTAATGTCATACTTTTTGGTAAGTCATCACACCTATACAGAAGATCCTCTTTTGTTTTAAATTGATAAACAAGACCTTGGCTAGCGTCGCTATGTTGGAGTTTACCCCAGTGGATGAGAGGGTCACCTCCCTACGCCTCCAAACTTCTGTAACATTAGTTGATGACAGCTACACTCATTACTATAAGTACGTGCAATAAAATCACACTGATCAGCCTCCCTGGTAAAGTCTACTCCAAGGTGCTGGTGAGGAGGGTTTGGCCAAGAAAAGGAACAATGCATTCCTGGTTGTGGAACAATGGACCAGCTCTTCTGTCTCGCAAGGATCCATTCTACATGTGCCTATCCATTCTACATGTGTTTTGAAGATCCAGATAAGGCTTATGACTGAAAGAAATAGATTGCAGCTACATGTGGCCAAAATGGGTTTTCTCAGGAGGGAGGCAGGCATCTCCCTCAGAGATAGGGTAAGAAGGCAAGTTATCTGTCAGGAACTTGGAGTAGAGCTGCTGCTCCTTTGCGTCCAAAGGAACAGTTGAGGTGGTTTGGGCATCTGGTAAGGATACCCAATGGGCATAAAACGGGAGGTGTTCCAGGCATGTCCAGCAAGGGAGAGGCCTCAGGGTAGACCCAGGACTAGGTGTAGCGATTATATCTCCCCTGACCTTAGGAACACCTCGGGATACCACAGTGAGCACTGGTTAATGTGGCTTGGGCAGACCAGACCAGCGGTTGAAGATGGATGATTGATGATATAGTTTTTCTCCTCTAATTCCAGACTGGCCTGAGATCAGCAGCATGTGTTTTGATCTATGCTGACATGAATAGGTGTATGAATGTTGTGCTGACATTTGAATGATCCACAATAACACAACGACAAAGTCACTTTTAGGAAAAAGCTCATTGATTAAGACATAGTAATGTTGAACTACACATTTCAAACCTGAACACATCTGATTCGATTATAAATATATCTCCATAATTTATTTGTTATTAAGATTGTTCGGCTGCAGTTTGTCGGTGACCAGCTGTGCTTCTCTGGCCTCAGCTCTAAAGTCCAACCCCTCCCATCTAAGAGAGCTGCAGCTGAGTAACAACAACCTGCAAGATTCAGGAGTGAAGCTTCTCTGTGGTTTTCTGGAGAGTCCACACTGCAGACTGGAGACTCTGAGGTCAGACACCATTTTTTACTTCTGTGTTGAGATTAATATGATGTGAAATGTCTATGAAGATTCTCAGTCATCCAGGTCATAGTTATCCAACGAAGGTTAAAATGAAGGGCAACTGGACTTGGTTGAAGATGGAAGACGTTTCGTCCCTCATCCAAAGGACTTCTTCAGTTCTGACTGACTGGCAGGGAAACTCAGCTATTTAACCTCAGTGGGGTCGTTATCTCGGGTCATCGATACCGCTGGTTCGTTAGTGTTCCTTGTTGCTGTGACGACAGTCGTTACAGTCGTTGAGACTACCTGTGGCCAAGACTGAACCATCGTTGGTATCTTCACCTGAGCCAAGACTGAACGACCATCGTTGGTATCTTCACCTGAGGCCAATAGGTTACGTTTGTTGAGTTTCCTGGGAAGTGATGAAAGGACAGCATTGTAAGTGGGGGATAAGTGGTGGCTAGACCCCCTCCCCTGTTCAATGACGGCTTCTCAACCCTGGTGTAGATGCTTCCTTGACACCTCTTTCAAACCATCCATCTTCTCTGTCTAAAATGTGCACCTGGTGGTGTGATGATGTGAAAGTTGTGGTGACACTAAAGTGCAGACATAAGGCTGATATTATACTGATCCACAATGAGTATCTTAATGCTAAAGTTTATTTTCCTTTTCAGTGGTTTAGTCCATTAACTGTGGCAGAGCAATGTTCAGCTTAAAACCTTAATATAACAAGAAAAATCTACACTGAATAATTCACTCTGAACCTCAAACTTGGCTAAATGACTTCACAAGAACTTTAACAAGGAACTGCAGGAAAGCAGAGCGCAGGTGGAAACACTTACAAAAACATAATGCTATGACACTTTTCAGCCAGGTTTCAAGACAGTTTACAGCACAGAATCAGCTTTCCTTAATGTCTGCAACGACCTGCTTTTGACTGTCAATTCAAGAAGCAACGCCATTCTTCTTCTCCTTGATTTCAGTTCCTCCTATGACTGTGGAACATACCATACTCATCAACCATCTCAAGCACGGGTTGAGCATTGAGAGTATGCAACTGGATTTGTTCTCCTCCTATTTTGCAAAAATGTTCTTAGTTAGCATAGACCATTTCTCCTCCCCTCACATGCTAATCTCTTCTACGGTGTCCCACAAGGGTCCATCCTCAGTCCCATCCTGTTTTCCATCTAGTTGCATCCCCTTGTTAGTCATACAGAAATATAAAATCTTCTACCACTGCTACACCAATGATATGCAGCTCTACCTATGTCTGAAACTCAACTGCCCATCACACATAAACCGCCTCACGGAGTGCCTTGAGGATAGTAGATGCTGGATAACCCTTAGACCCTTGCAGCTCAGCGATAATAAATCAGAGGTGCTCTTTGCCCCCTGGACTCCATTAAACTACTCACCTATAACTTATTCCAACTATCCCCTTAACCCAAACCCCACGCTACCAACCTTGGGTTTATCCACGACTCTGCCCTTAAAGTTGATAAACAAATGCAGCTGTCAAGTTCAGCTTCTTTCAGCTCCAATCCATACCCAAATTAAAACCGTTCCTTTCCCACCCAGACCTGGACATAGTCATTCAAGCCTTCATATCCTGACTGATCGACTACTGCAACTCCCTCTACTCTGTTATTACCCAGTCATCCATGTTTTTGGTTGTATCTGTGTTTCGCAACTTGGCTTTTTATTTTTTATTATATAGTTTATTGTTCTTTGGCATCTCCCACTGTACAGCATATTTTTTTGTTTTCAGATGGGCATTATTAATAAATTTAACTTAGATTTTTGTCTTAAATGTAAACTTTGTTTTTATAAAATAAATTATAATTAAAAATAAAAAAAGAATGGATAAATAACTAATATATTGTTCAAATATTAGACAATAACAAATATAGTCAGTATTTGCCTTTTCCAACATTGTTATGAAACTATATGATGCTTAAACTGACTGAATAGTTTAAAGTGAAGAAGCTTTGATTTGATGACTCCACTATTCCTAAAAGAAATATTGTAGATGTTTTTATTTCACTTTCCCCAAAGTTCATCTTGATATATTTGGCATCTTTGGAAACTATGGGATCTTGAGTGGAATCTTATATCAGTTTCTGTGGGTTATTTGTGTTTGGCTGCACAGCATGAGTTTGTATAGATGGAGCCACTGTTGGAGCTGCAGAGTTTAAGAGGTGAAGTCGCTACGACTTTGTTGAAGTAGCAGCACGTTGTCATTAATATTACTGAGAGCTTTTTTTTACCTTTTTGTATTTTACAGTTTGAACCTGCATCCTGTTGGGTTCAAGTGTTTGGAGTTTCCATTTTCTAAACTTCTACATTCTAAACCTTCTTCAGCTCTGAACAGATTATTAAATACGATTTCAAGCAGTAACATTGTCTTCTAAAGATACATCTCTTATTCTTTATTCAGATTAAGTGACTGCAGTTTGTCAGAGATCAGCTGTGCTTCTCTGGCCTCAGCTCTGAAGTCCAACCCCTCCCATCTCAGAGAGCTGCAGCTGAGAGGAAACAAGCTGCAGGATTCAGGAGTGAAGCTGCTGTGTGGGTTTCTGGAGAGTCCACATTGCAGACTGGAGACTCTGAGGTCAGTTCACTGACTCTCTGTTACTCTTGTAGATCTTATTATATATTTAATTAACATAAGTTTAGAATCGCTTACCCCACCTTTAATCTGTGTTGACATGAATAGGTGTATGAATGTTGTGCTGACATTGGATGATGTCTGTAGAAGGCTGACATTATGATGATCCACAATAACACAATGACAAAGTCCCTCTACTCATTTTAGGGAACAGCTCATTGATTAGGACATAGTAATGTTGAGCTCCACATTTAAAACCTGAACACATCTGATTGGATTAGAAATGGATTTCTGTCTAAATTATTTATTATTTATTCAGTTTGAGTCTCTGCAGTTTGTCAGAGATCAGCTGTGCTTCTCTGGCTTCAGCTCTGAAGTCCAACCCCTTCCATCTGAGAAAGCTGCAGCTGAATAGAAACGACAAGCTGCAGGATTCAGGAGTGAAGCTGCTGTGTGGGTTTCTGGAGAGTCCACACTGTAGACTGGAGACTCTGAGGTCAGTTCACTGACTTGCTGTTAAATTATGATAATCCACAATAACACAATGAAAAAGTCACTTGACTCATTTTAGACAAAAGCTCATTGATAGGACATGGTAATGTTGAGCTACATATGTTTTATCTCCATCATTTATTCTTGATTTAGATTGTGGGACTGCAGTTTGTCAGAGATCAGCTGTGCTTCTCTGGCCTCAGCTCTGAAGTCCAACCCCTCCCATCTGAGAGAGCTGCAGCTGGGCTACAACAAGCTGTATGATTCAGGAGTGAAGCTTCTCTGTGATTTTCTGGAGAGTCCACACTGTAGTCTGGAGACTCTGAGGTCAGACACCATTTTTTCCTTCTGTGCTGAGATTAATATGATGTGAAAGTTTTGGTGACACTAAACTGCAGACATAAGGCTGATATTATATTGATGCACACTGAGTAAGTCTATTTTCTTCTTCAGTGGTTTGGTCTATTGACTGTGGCAGAGCGATGTTGAGCTCCACATTTAAAACCTTAATATAACAAGATGTCTATGAAGATTCTCAGTCATCCAGGTCATAGTTATCCAGCAAAGATTAACGTCAAGGGCAACTGGGCATGGTTGAAGATACTGGAAGACGTTTCGTCCCTCATCCAAAGGACTTCTTCAGTTCTGACTGACTGGCAGGGAAACTCAGCTATTTAACCTCAGTGGGGTCGTTTGCCAGGATTGTCGATACTGCTGGTTCGTTTGTGTTCCTTGTTGCTGTAACGACAGTTACAGTCGTTAGGACTACCTGTGGCCACCTGAAGGGGCACTTACAGCCTGTGGATACCCTAAATGGACCTTTGTAAAAAAAAACTGACAAGATCCAAGAAGAACAAAACTACAGGGGATGAAAAAAAGAAGGTCAAACGCAACAACATTGTGATTCCATACGTGTCTGGAGTATCAGAGAAACTCAGGAGGATTTTCAACAAACACAACATCCCTGTGTTTTTTAAACCCAAGAACACACTAAGACAGATGCTGGTCCACCCCAAAGACCGCACACCCAAACACAAGAAAAGCAATCTAGTGTATGCGGTCCAATGCAGTGAGGAATGCACAGACCTGTATATTGGGAGACTAAACAACCACTACACAAACGCATGGCTCAACACAGAAGGGCCAACTCCTCAGGTCAAGACTCTGCAGTCTACTTACATCTGAAGGACAGAGGACACTCGTTTGAGGACCACCAGGTGCACATTTTAGACAGAGAAGATGGATGGTTTGAAAGAGGTGTCAAGGAAGCATCTACACCAGGGTCGAGAAGCCGTCATTGAACAGGGGAGGGGGTCTACGCCACCACTTATCCCCCACTTACAATGCTGTCCTTTCATCACTTCCCAGGAAACTCAACAAACGTAACCTATTGGCCTCAGGTGAAGATACCAACGATGGTCGTTCAGTCTTGGCCACAGGTAGTCTTAACGACTGTAACGACTGTCGTCACAGCACCTAGGAACACTAACGAACCAGCGGTATCGATGACCCGGGCCAACGACCCCACTGAGGTTAAATAGCTGAGTTTCCCTGCAAGTCAGTCAGAACTGAAGTCCTTTGGATGAGGGACGAAACGTCTTCCAGTATCTTCAACCAAGTCCAGTTGCCCTCAACTTTAATCTTCGTTGGATAACTTAACATAACAGGAAACATCTCCACTGGATAATTAACTCTGAACCTCTTAAACTCCTGATCAGGACATTGGTGGTGGTGGTTGGTGAAGGGTCAAAGAGTAATAACTGGATATCTGACTGGTTTAACTGAAAGAGTGAATGCCCTCAGTCAGCTGATCATGTTGTAAACTGGAAAAGAAACGCATGA